GACCAAGTCTGACTCCCCCGATCGTTTGTGTGTGTGTGTTTGTGTTTGTGTGTGTGTGTGTGTGTGTGTGTGTGTGTGTGTGTGTGTGTGTGTGTGTGTGTTTGTGTGTGTGTGTGTGTGTGTGTGTGTGTGTGTGTGTGTGTGTGTGTGTGTGTGTGTGTGTGTGTGTGGAATCTGGAAAAGATGAAGCCTCTACAGAACACTGACCACCTTCAGTCTGTAGAAAATACATGAAAAGTATTCATTTTTCCTAATCTCCTGATATCTTTGGCTAATATTTAGTGGCAGATTATTTTGTTTCCTGAGAATAAACTATTTCTAACAAATATCAGGATAAAACAATCAATCAAAACATCACACAGTCCCAGAAGAACGTTTCTTAAAGTTAAAGTTGCGTCCCCCTGAGGTGATAACAGCTTGTAAATAAATAATATAGTAGTATATATATTATATTATATATATTATAGTCATATAAATAATAATATGTAGAATCTTTAAAACTTTAATTCCACATTTTCATATATCATATTTGCATATATCTTTAAAAATAAAAAGAGACATTTCTGTAAATTTATTCTTGTGTCAGGGTTCAATAGGAGTTAAAAAAAAAAAGATATTTAAACAGTCAAATGATTCATTTTGGGTATAAACCTTGATGCACTTTGTGGAGCAGCTAGAAGCAGTTTATTCGAAATTAGTCTGATTTAATGTGGCGCTGATGTATGTAGTGCACAGCTAATCTGTATTACTTCTTCCTATCGTGTTTATTTGTTACAGTATAACTTCAGAATTTGTATAAATGTCCCTTAAACACTTCAAAAAGTTTGCGTTTAATCTTTTTGAACTTCATTTTTTCAGGAAAAGGCAGTGAAATGATCTCAGTTGTGTTTCGTAATTGCAAGGCCTCAACTTTTACAAAGAAAGAAAAACAAGAAATGTCCTTATTCATTCTCTGTTTGTTTGATTTCCCGTTGAATCCATTTTAAACGGACTCTTTGACCGGAGCAGGCTCATGACTGCTGGGAATCTAAAACCAAACACACAAACCTGATCTGAGGGAAGCGTGTGATCAGCTCCCACAAACTCTGCCCACACGAGAAGGAATCCTGCAGCCGGGAGCCGTCCTCCATCTGGAGAGCAACCCGCACCTGGAAACCACAGAAGTCAGACCTCAGAGACTCACAAACACAGACACACACAGACACACAAATACAAACACACACACACACGCATAAACACACGCACACACACACACACACACACACACACACATACAAACAAACACACATACAAACAAACACACACAAACACATGTGCACACACAATAAAGTGAGGACCAGAAATTGTCCTCACTTTCAAAAAAATACCTCACTTTGGTTAAAAACTACTTATGGTTCTCACTCTGATGCAGCAACAAGGACACACACACACACACACACACAAACACAAACACACACACACACACACACAAACACAAACACACACACACAAACGATCGGGGGAGTCAGACTTGGTCCGACTTACTGCTCAGAGAACGACAACAAAATGTAAATAAACTTAAATCAGGGCCGACAAATAGACAGACGAACGAGCATCTAAGAGCCCCTTTAAATACTTTATTATCACTCTCACTTTCACAGGACTCCAAAAGGTAAAAAAACCCATCAGATAAGCTCGGCCTCTCTCAGCCTGAGGCCCCCGTAAACGTCCAGAAGACCCACGCGGCCTTCAGAAAAACCAGAGCCACTTTTCAGAGAAATAATCGGACCTGATTAGGCACATGTGGGCCTTAGCCCTTTAAAGCCCGATACAAGAAAAATAGGAAGAATATTGGATTTTTTTTAGTCTGAAGTCTTTCTTTGGTCCCTCAACAACATATGAAGAAAAGAAAACAGAAATTATTTTGATCAAATTAGCGTGCAATAAGTTAAAAATATATTTAGGTGTAGTCTTCTACTGGCTGTTATCAGGTATATCTGAATGTGTACAACAGGGGTTTGAGCAAAGCTTTTACCACTGAATGATGCAAAAAGTCTCAGATCCAAAAGACTTCAGAAACCGTATGAATCAGATATGATAAATTTGGCATTATAGGGTTAAAACGAGTAACGGCCTGAGTCTGTTGTTCTTTCTCTGAGTCACACGCCGATTTGTTTGTGTTTACTCAACAACGGTGTTGGTGGGGGGGGGGGGGGTCTAAATCTGCTCAGCATCAACAGCAATCCGTCCGTCACATGAAGAAAACAGCAGATCAAAACAAGCCGCGGTTTTACGGCCTGGATTACGGAGCCATGAAGTCAGAACAGAGTGGGTTTCTGGACCCGGATCAGAGACCGAAGCGTTTCCACTACAGAGGAGTAAAAGCACCCCAACACACCTCCAGCTGATTTAAAACACGGAAATACGTTTAAATAAATCAGGGCTTTCTGGGGCTGGTCCAGTCTCCTGTTCTCTTAAAGGTTTAAAAGTTCTAATATACTTTTTTGTAATAGAAATCTTGATAAAAATCTTAATAAATATCATACACCTGTTCTACTATGGAGTGCTTTGGGGGGGGGTTAATATTTTTGAGTTTAGGGGCTCTGTAAAGTCTCTTTCCTGCGTTTTTTCTGAGCTTTCTTGACAGAACAGAAAGCTAAAAAGACACTGGGATGCAATATATACAATCTTTTAGCTTTTGTGCCTTCTGTAAAGTCGACATCATTTCAAATCAGTCCTTCTATTCATCCATTTTTTATGTCCGGTTGTTCCTCACCTGGTTTAGGAAATTACTAAGTACTAACAAACTATAAAAACAATCAAACTTTTTAATTTTTAGTAACACAAATATCTTAATATGATTTTACATATACTCTTGTTTTCTGTTTTTTTAAGGAGTGCTGTAACAACATTTGGATTTATCTGATTGATGATCTCCAATTTCATTAATAACGGAGTTCAAACCAGATGTCTGTACAGAAAACATGTAGTTTAAAACTTAACCGTCCCGTTTGCTTTCTTACTCTTATATTAACATGTAGTAAACTGAAGTGTCAGCCTATAAATTCACTATGATCGAAATAACCTCGAACTAATTGTATTCTTCACTGTGTTTGAAGTACATCATTCAAACTAACAGCCAGCAGAGCAGAAGGGCTCCGTAAGTCTAATAAGAACGGACAAAAATTGGCTAAAACCCTTCACCCGGGACACTTTTTCCTTTAATATTTTTGGCAAGAGAATTCAGAAAAGCTGCAACGTGAAGTGGCTCACGGAGACTGAGCCTCCATAGTGGTGTAGCTTTCAAATTTCCTTTCATTTCCTTTAAATTACATAATTTCCTGTCCCTGTGAAGCAGAGCCTAAACTCTATTTACACTCTGATTAAACAGGGAACACGGTACAGACCATCAGGGAACAGGTCACTCTGATCAAACTGAAGACTTCTGTTCAAACCTGGCTGTCAGCTGCTCCTTGTTTCCTGGAACTCGTCACCATTTCCAGTTTGGCGTTGTTGGGAAGGTTGGCAAACCTCCATTGTACCGTCAGGTCCACGACGCTCCTCTGAAACCTGCCGATGAGAAAAAACCCCATTACAAAAAGGACAAGAAAACAATCCTACAGACAAACAAAGAGGAAAGCCATGAATTTATTGGATACGACTTCTAATTCTATGCTGAACCAGCCACTTTACTGGGATTTATACTGTTCATTCTTGAGTTTTTATGCAATCGACTTGAGAAATTAAGATGTGTGATGACAAAAAATAGCTGAAAAACGTCCAATAAAAGATTGTTTTCATATACATTTGAAATAAAGTTCCCTAAATAACTTTTCCTTTATTCTAACTTTAAAATATCTTCTTTGGGGAATAGATGACCACACTTTCTCTGTCAGTAAACTAAATAAACGTATCTTTCTCATATGATTGCAGATGTTAACTTGTGTTTCCTGGACTCACAAAAGCTCTTCAGTCTTTCACTGAAATGGAGCAAACTGCGGCTATCTAAGCAGTTATTTTTATTAAGTTTTTTCAAATTCAGTAATGTAGTTTTCCTGTCGTTTTAGCCTGAAACCTGCAGGAATTGTGGAGGAAATGAGAGCAAAAGCTCGAACAATCTGGAGAAGCTTCATCAGCTTCGACACTCACTTCAAACCGTGGTCCTCGGGGTCAAAGCCGTGCTTTTTACAAACATCCTCCAGCACCTGGGGCAGAAAACACAGGCGGAATTTGATACAAGAAGCTGCACCACAAACGTATCCAGAGACTCTAATTTCTCGAAAGCAGAAAATGATCTGTCACCGGCTAACCAGCGTTAGCCAAACATGCTAACTCAGAAAACGGTTGCCTCCAGTCCACCAACGGCAAAAAAAAAAAACTAACTCCCCCCAAAGGCCACCAAACGCTCCGGGGAAACTCCTCACCTGCAATAAAGGCGTGTTTGGAGATACTTTAACTGTCTGTCTCCGTCCATTTGGAGTGAGAACCGTTACAGCTGAACCGCTGGCAGCCATCGCGTGTGGTGACGTCACTGTGTTTGTTTGAATAAACTTTATTGACACCCTCCGGTACTTAAAGGGTCAATTCACCCCAAATCGACGATGATAATAGACATAGAGAGTTAAATCACTGTCGTAGCAGGTTTGAACCTCTTTGAAATAACATCTGCTCTTCTCAAAATATTGAAAATAATCGTTGTGGTTTTAATGGTTTTACCTTTTCAATGAACAAGAGCTTTGAATGTGCTAAAAATGTAGCGGTTGGTCTTGTTTCTACTTTGCCTGATAATGTTTTCAGCACAGACATCAGTTTGTTGCAACATCGCCAGAGAATGTTTCTTTTATGTTTCTGTTTTCATTTTTAATACCAATCTACCGCAAATTAAACGTATGATCCAAGGATGCTGAAACTGCTATGAGAACCCCCCTTTACATCTACAGGAAATCAGAGTAATCAGAATAAGAAATATTTTAATAATCCCAGATTTGACTGGGACATGAAATGAATACAGTACTAAAGTAGAGTGTTTTTAATACACATATGTGATAGTATTTGCAGACACGACATCAAAGAAGTTAAACTGGAGAGATTTTCTGGAAAATGGGAGGCATCTACTAAACGCTAATGAAGTAGATACATACTTCTGCTTTGGCTTCCTTCCCTCTGAATAACTGAGCTGTTCATGCCTAAAAACAACAGAACTAACAGGTGTGTTACTTTCCCAGCTTTGTGTTATATAACATCAAACTTTATAGTCCTTTGCCAATACTATGATGTATTATTGACATCTATCTGAAAGAAAAACCTATTTTATTCAGCTTGGATTGAGGATGTATGAAGCTTTGCTTTGGTAAATCATGCGTTCAATCATCTGCACGAAATCAAATCCTCCACGAAATGTACAAAAACAACACGGAGGTCATTTATCTTCCTGTGGGCTTGATTAGATCTAAAAGCATGACAAACAACAAAGTGGCTCAAAATTATTCACAGTGTCCCCTCCAGGAGAAGAAGATTGATCCTGTCAGTAAACTGGCAACAACACAGTGAGTCTGTTTCCCACATGGAGGGAATCACGTATGGACCATGTGCCGTTTGACTGATGACCCCGGCAGAAACTACAGAACTGAGACTGGTTTCTTTCAGAGAGAATCAGATTTGGGACGGACGGACAGAAGGAGAGTGAGACCAGGGCCTCGGCGGCCTACGACTTTCAGAGAGAAAGTCCCTGTGAGCTCTGGTGGGAAGCTGCCACCCTCTGAACAAACAAACAAACAAACAACCCGTTTCCTTCCTCACTCAGCGGGACAGAAACTTCAAAACTGTCTGAGCAGAGTTAAAAGGGCAGCTGGCTTTCCTTCCCAACTGGACGCTCATCAAAGTAGAAAAAGGAGGGAAAAAAATGTGGTGGCAAGGTAGTGCTGACTTTAAAAGGTGAGACCAGGGGAACGGGATTAAACAGGGTGGGAAAGAGGGGGGTGTTATATGAAAATATACACGTTCAAAATGTAACCTGACCTTCTGACAACGGGCCAGAAGAGCTGTTTGTCTAAAGGTTTACAGCAATCTCCTCAATCTGATCAAGTTTAGTTTAGTTTAATTTTATTAGGATCTGATCAAGTCGTGAAATAAAGCAGAAATGAGCTCAGATAAAGTCTTTTCTGATTCTTATCTCTGGCTCTTTTGGTGGATCCTGATGGGACACAGACCACAGACATGACTTAAAGTCCTCCAGTGACCCCATCAACCCCACGAGACCAGACCATCCAAAACACCGGGAGAAAGAACAGGTTTCCTTAAATGTATAGCATCAGATGGAGGCGTGAGGGGGGGGCACCTCTCCATCCAACAACACTTCAAAGGCTGTGTGTTCATCCGATGACACAACATCAAAGGGCTGAGGGGGGCGTGC